TGGATGCTGTCATTGGAAAGAAACGATGTGTTGGAAACGGGGTCGTAAGTATATAATATGCAGTTTGTTCATTAGTCAAGAACGTATCTGGAAACAGATTAAATGCAAGATGTCACCGACGTCTTACCTCACGGTGACATTGAATCATTGGTGAGGGAGGACGGTCGCAGTTTTTAGACTCGTCCAATTTCTGGTTCACGATCTTATTTTCAGTTAATGCTAAAATGTTATCATGCAACTGACATTAATTTTGCCAAAACAATACTGTTTAGATGTTATTTAGAAAGAAACTCATCTGAAATACAATGCTCCAGCATGTGGTTCTGAGACCATTCCCATAATCTCATAACACAAACCAGATCGATAATGTGGGAAAGAAAATCGATAATGGAGACCTGTTTTTTTTCACCATTGATTTATAGCTACGATGGGAGGATGTCCTGCTGAATTGGGTCACGCTCAATGGGGATATTCTTCAAGATGTATAATTGCTCCACAAGAGCAGGGATTGGCTGTTATATCTTGACAGGACATATGTATTATCATACATTTAGTCTTCTATTTAGTGAACCTGTTCTTAGATAAGATAAGCATCACGATGTACTTAAAATAACCATGTGAATGAGTGGAATAGGTGAAGTCTGAAGTTTTAAAGAATAGTTTCAGTTCTTATATTATCAAAGAATTATATACTGACTGTAACATATGCTGGGATCTGATTCATGTTAATGGTTTAGATTATTTGGCATTAAAAGTGAAAGAGAAATTTGGCTTTAAAAAGCTACCACAATAAATACTTAAATGAGACAATAAATGTTTTTTTTATAGACTGCCAGTTACAATAAATAATGTTATTAGACCACTATTTAAATATATGTGTATCAGACAACCAGTTAGAAATAATAATTCAATGAGACCACCAGTTACTTTTATGATTGTATCCAACCACCAATTGCAATAAATGTTTTTATTGAAAATCAGTTAGAATGGACATCTGTCAGGCCTCCAGTTATGATAAGTAATTCTATTAGATCACCAATCAGATCAATATGTGTAACAGACAACAAATTACAATAAATAAATTCATTAGACCATCATTTACATTAAATGATTTATCAGATCACCAACTAAATAAATATATCTATCAGACCACTAATTGCAATAAATATTTTGATTAGAAAACCAATTACAATGGCTATCTGCCTCAGTTCTCTAATAGTAATAAATAATTCTACTAGACAAACATAACAATAGATATTTCTATTAGACCATTAATAACAATATATAATTCTATTACATGTTAGTGGTGGTCCGATTAATTGAAATAATCGAAGATCGGTCGCAATGACTAAACGACCAAGCAATCGATCTTGTTTTCTAATGATCGAACACAAACAATTTTGGAACACTTTTTTGCTTTAACAATATTTTTCACAAGGTTGGTTTTGTCTGTTACATTTCATAAGCACTACCAGCTCGTTCCAAGTCATGATTGAATTTATCTTAAAGACTCAAGGAAATTTATGTTCCTAACATACTAATCATCCTTTAAAGGTGTAAAATTTGCAAATGCATTTTGTGCAATTTGCAAAAAACTCGAAAGATCTACATGTTTTTTCTTTGTGTTTTGTGCATTAACAAACATAACCAGGAAAATTTGATAAATAATGCCAACCAATTATTTTTCGATGATTGATCGGTTGTAAAGAACCAATCATCAATTATGAGATTTTAACCAATTCCCAACACTATTACACGTAGCCCACCAATAACAATAATCAATTTTATCTGACTACCAATTATGCAATAAATAATTCTATTAAAGCACCAATTGAATAAACATGTGTATCAGACAACAAATGGCAATAGATATTATTATAAGACCACCTACTACAATGGATATTTATATCAGGCTTCCATTTACATTAAGTCTTTCTATTTAACCACCAACAGCAATAAATATTTCTGAGACGGGAGACCCCCCTCCTTGGCTTAGTGGACAGAGATAAAGCTTATTCCACAAGACACATCAAACCTTAGTTCAAACATTTAAGTAACAAACAATTTTCCCCTTCTAGACTTCATTGATTGCTGTAAATAAATAAAAATACATAAATAATAAAAATAAATAAATAATAATAATAAAAAATAAAAATAAATAAAAAAAAATAAATAAATAAATAAAAATAAATAAATAAATAAATAAATAAATAAATAAATAAATAAATAAATAAATAAATAAATAAATAAATAACTGACTGACAAGTTTGGTTTCATAAAATAATATTCCAGTAACATCAATGAGGGGACACCAGAAATGGGCTTCACATTGTGTTGAAATAGAGACATGAATACAGTAGAATATTGTTGTTATGAATACTGTATAGTAATCATGTTGTGAAAGTTTATGAGTGGTAGAACATTTATTTATAAAATGTCCAGGTGTATAAATTGTAACAATTAAACATTTAAATCAAATTTGTTGACATAATATATTTTTGCATACTTTCAAATATAAAGCTGTTGTCTGTTAATGAAATATCCCAGTAAAGAATTGTCTGGATTAAAACATCACCTCCAACTCATAACAGATGAATTTACAATGAAGCTCTGTTGACATAATAATAACATTTACAATTACATTTCACAAAAAAAATGACACAAGTTGTTACAGCGTTTTTAAAATATTGCATCAGACAAAGGTGTGCTACCAGTAATGTAGTCTGTCTCACAGTCCCTGAACCACATTATTTTCCCTACTGCCAAGCCCTATCTGCAGTGCTAAAGCCCTAAATAAAGCAAGTCTAGATTTCCACAGGTTCTGAATCTATGGTCTCCCTGGGGCTCCTTTTCAATTTAAATGGGCTTGTTTGTTACTATCAAAATTATATATTTTCAGAGACTAATCATTAGTCTACCAGTAATGGAATAGTTCTTGTAGATTGTTATCTTGCCACATGGTCATAAACGTCAGTCACGTTTATTGATTACGCATTGTGATATATATACCTTGTGTGTCCACAGTGTGGGTCAGTTTGACCAGCTGTGACACACAAAGACTGGTTGCCACAATTGTGGGCCACTGAATGTACTGGTCAGGGCTTAAGTAATACCAGAGACCATATAATATTATATGGTCTCTGGTAATACCAACACTTGTGTAACATAATATTTACCGACTGGATAAGTAAGTTAATATGTGGGGCTGACCATGACCCAGTTGCAGGTGTATATAATAGAAAAGAAAATGATTTGATTATGAAGAGATGAATAAATATTTTTAAAATGCAAGATTTAGAACATCAGTTTTTAATCTGAACTACATCTTGTACTGGTATGGTTCCAGTGATTTTGCCCACAAAGCAAATATCATGATTACTGGGCCACTGTTTCAGTGTAACAGCCATCATGTACATATGCAACGTTTTTACAGAATCAAGTACATTGAGATAGCCCAGTGGTGTTGGTCATGATTCCTAAGGCCCAGGTTTGTTTCCCCACATGGATACAAAGTTTGAAGTTTATTTCTGGCGTTCCTTTGGTGACAGTGCTGGAATATTGATATTAAACAGTGAAAACTCCGTCTTCCCATACAGATTTGTCCAGAAACCATGTCGCCTCTCAACACTGTATAGTAAACAAAATTTCACCGTCTATGAGAGGAATTTTGTACAGTCTAAGTAAACTTAGACTCAGTATTATTCGTTACACTGCTATACTGGGTCTAACAAAACCTTGTGGAAGGTCGCGTCAGGTAACCTTTGAGCGACCTATGACCGTCCAATCAAATTTGAGACGGCCGAACGGATTTACCCAATCAGACAACAGCTACTATTTAGGGTTCGGCGGGACTTACAAAATGGATTTTCTCTTCTCTGCGGCGGTCGCCAACACTGATCTCCCAACAAATGAAAATTTAATAAAACACAGATATTTGCCCTGCAGTATATACACTTTGGGGTTTCTGATGACATGGCTATCATTAGCTAATATTTCAGCAAGCTGACATGCTTGAATACTGACAAAACGCTATTTTCAGCGACTGTTTACTCACTGCTGTGGCGTGCCTCACTAGTAACTGATCGTACGGAAAAATAGCATTCGGAATCGTTTGGCTACAAACTTTTTCGAGGTAAAAGTTCAAAAGGTATGTGCGAATGTCAACTTTCGCGATTTGGTAAGCTGTGTTCTGATTGGTCAATTGAAAAGGTTATCTGACGCGACCTTCCACAAGGTTTTGTTAGACTCAGTATAGCAGTGTAACGAATAATACTGAGCCTAAGTTTACTTTGACTGGAATTTTGTATTGTATCATGGAATGTTCAGGATATTTTCGAAAACTTTTGAGTATGATAAAATGATAAAACTATTGTCAGTGTTATTCCCTTGTTCTATAACTTTCCACTGACAAAAAATATGCCAACTCAGGTTGATAAGACGATAAGACTTAAATAATGTAGAACCTATGTAAAGTAATCTTTCTTAAGAGATATCAGTCAAGTGAGTCAAATATGTTTTGCTATTTTATCTCATCTTAATGATTAAGGAGAGGTGTAGCTTTGACCGTTTTTTTCCAGATTCATTTATTGTGAACACATTACCCAGTTTGCATTGCATACAGCTCCAGATAAGCTGTTTATTTACATCATAACACACACAATAAATCACCTGAAAAACCTTGAGCTGCTTGTGAACATGTGCACCTGACAAAATAACCCAACAGTGTAAAAACACTCTCTGTCACTTAGGGCAGCATTTTCTTTATGTGTTTCAAATAGCCATCTTATCTAAAGTTGTTTTATTTATCTATTTATTTTTTTATTCCTGGAAAAAGTACATCATCTCATTTCTAGAGGTTTACATGACCAGGATTTTTAAAAAAGTACATGTCATTCACACTTATCTGAAGTTGGGTCAGTCGTCGGTTTACAATGAATAAATGATAAGAATATAAAATAGTGATTTGTTCATATTTACATCAGAAAATGTGACATACAAACCTCTAAGTTTGATTCTGCATTAGTTTGACTGTTTAGGAGTGGCTGAAATATGCATCTGGAAAAGAAGAAAAACTAACTTATTCTGTTTTCTTTGGTATTTTAGAAATACAAAATATATACAACAAAATAATTTTTGTCAAATTTGCTGATTTTGAATTCATAACACAGTTTGCACTGCAAACAAAAGCAATAGAGAACAACAAAGAAAAGCAGAACATAGCAGAACATAAAAAGAGATTGAGTGAGTGAGTTGAGTTTTACGCTGCACTCAGCAATAGTCCAGCTATATGGCGGTCTGTAAATAATCGAGTCTGGACCAGACAATCCAGTGATCAACAGCATGAGCACCAACCTGCGCAATTGGGATACGATGAGTCAACCAAGCCTGACTACCCGATCCTTACGACAAGCATGGGTTACTGAAGATGCATTCTAACCCGGACCTTCACGGGTTAAAAAAGAGATTGAAACAGATGTTACTGTCACAATGTGAGCTATGATGCTGAAATACTTTGTGCAGAGTTTGGTTTCTTAGCTTTGCAAAGATCCACTGGTTGCAGATTTGAAAAGATAACTTTAGCCCAAATTCTTTTTTTATATCTAAATATGTGACATGTTAAGGTGACAGCTTTTTCACATATTTGCATATTACATTAATTAATACTTGCTATCAAAGTGTGTGTTAATAAAATTGTACATTGTCCTTGCTTCTGTTTTTCTGAGAGTTATTTCCCTTAGATGTAGGACACACCTCCTCCACCAGAATGAGGGAAATCAACAAAGATGTCTGTCTACCTTCTGTGTTAGGCACAATATCTAAATATTTTGGGATGTTTAGCTGCAAAGTATCAAATTAACCCAATCTATGGGAAAAAAAGATGGATTATTGTTTATAAGATGTAACTGTTCTGGTAACTTAAACTTTTTGTGGATTCACAGTCATCAGATATACTTAGATCAATGTCATCTTCCAATCGTATAGGATTAATGTTCCAAAATATAAAGATGCAGGTTTCTTCTTTAGTAGTTTGAATTGAGGGGCACTAAATTAGCTTCAATACTCTTCAATCTTAAACAATATGGTCTTCATCTTGCTAATATATTTAATATTGGAGTGCTAAGATTCAGAGTTCAGTGTGCTCACTGACCCTTAAATCTATAATGACCCAATTATAATTTTGAGAATTGTTTAAATTATAAAGATGAGAAAATTCTGAATTTTAGATTGAGTTTTATGAAGGATGATTTCCCTTTTACCTTTCTTTAGAATCAGAATCAGAAAGGAAAATGGGTTATATGGTTATGTGGATTGGGAAAAACTGGTGTAGCTGACTTAAACAGCTAATCGTATATGTGACACACAGTCAGAATTAGACACATGGGTATAAAACGGCTATAATAATGTCCGTCCTGGTCGTAAATGTCAGGATGGAAGGGAGACATTTGGTGTATTCCAGGCACTGGCGGTGTATGAGAAACTAGGTGACACCTACTCACATGATGCATACTGTAGTTAAAAGATGCCTAGCATTAAACAGTTTATATGCTACATTTGTTAACAGCAAATGGAGATTGTATATCATGACAAAGAAAACGAGCCAGGAAGCAGTACTGGTTCATTGTTCAGTCCCTCCGGGATTCCGCGGTTGCAGAATAAATCGTGGAAATTACCTATTGATGCAGAAAAACACCTGGTCCGCAGAAAACACATTTTCATGCAGAATACCTGCAGAATTTGCCATTTTTCTGCTGTTGAATTTACTTATTTTGAAAGTTGAATCATGACTATCAACCGAAATGAAAAGTGAAAAGTAGGGGTAAATGGCAAAAGTATGATTGGTTAGACAAAAACGAACTGAGATATTTGTATTAATTCACAAATAAAGATGATTTAGTCATAAGGAAATATTTTCTTCAGCACCTTACAATAATATTATTGTAGTAATAATAATATTAAATAATTTGCATTTAGTTTGGTTAAAAGGTCTTTTAGAAATTGCAGGCTTTTAGAAATTGCAAGTATGTGAAGACATGAAACTTTAAAAAATATAAAGAAATTAAACAAATGTCAGTTTTGTTATGCTATATCATGAGTGTAACTTGGTGCCGAATTCAAATTAGCACAGGTACATAAACAGGTAACCTTGCTCTTCATGTAAAACAGTATAATATATTTGGTCCACTTTTTGAGGTTATCTAAGGATCTAAGGCAAGTGTCAGGTACATTTTCATGTCACCTGTCCACATCGTTAGAGCACCTGGCAAATCGTTATCACACTAGGTCACATTCTTATGTCACCTACAGATAAAACCTAGAATTTAAGTACTTGTAACTTGACCACTGGTGCCATAACAGTCATCAGAATCAAGGAGGTAACAGTTTTTATTCCACTCTCTGACAATTCAACACTGTATGGGATAATAGCTGTCACTATGGGCCTTACCAATTACGATGATGATACTGAGGTAAGTTGGTTATGAGTTTTCAGGGCTTGCAAGGATCCTGATTTTTCCTAGAACTTTGACTAAAAATTGCCAACAGATTTCTTTTCAAATTTAGTTATGCTTTTGAGGTATGTTTTATCAAATGTTGATAATATGGACGTGTCCTGATACCATTCCAGCAGAATTACTGTTTTTCTTGTGCATTATTGAATTATCAGGGCAAACAAGTTACTTTATGCAGAATATTTAATAATTCTGACCCTATTTCAGTATATCTGTCCACTGATTAAGGATTGTATCTCCAACTAAGCTATCATTGTTCATTTGATGGAATTCATAAAACTGAGAAATGAAAACATTTAATTTATGTAAATAAGTATTAGAAAGTATTACAGTAGTTCTTTTAAAACGGAATACTTTTTAACATTTAACAGGCATTTGAACAGTTCATCAAGTCATATCTATGATAATATTCATTAACAGAAACACAGTTTGTTATATCAATTATTTCATTATAAGCTTGTTCATTAATAATTGTAGTTTACTGTATTTGTTATTTACTTTTCCCATTTCTGGTTTTCCCTGCCATGATATTGCTGTAATGTTGCTAAAAGCGGCATAAAACCATTCTCACTCACTCACTGTTTGCTCAAGTGAAGGTGTGAGGTTTGGCACACTGGAGCACCTGGAATACATTTCGTCAGCCCCCATTGATTTGGTTTGAGTTACACTATGGCACTTAGGTATATAGTAAATAGCTCACAGCTCAGTTTGTCTAGTGCATTGGAAGCTAAAAATGACTTTTTTGTGATTATTTGTCTTTTGAAGGGAATACATGTTATATATTGTTTGAAGTAAATCTACTGTTGTGTCAGGGTACGGTTGGTGTTAATCAAATTCAAATATTTTACTAGAAGAGAAATTTATTTTAATTCTGAAAATATTAATTTGTTCAACATTTCCACTTTGTGAAGCTTATTTACATATTTATGAAAAGGAGGATGCCCCTATCCCACATCTCACAGCTCAATTGTGCCTTTAACATGACAAATTGCAAGTTCTAACAACACCAGGTTAATGAAGAGGCATAAAGGCAACATATGGACATCTGGAACAAAGCTCCACTGCGCAAGGCTATCTTGGTGCTAGGGTGATAAGCTGTTATACATTAACATTACGTAGGCTTAGGAAAGTCTAAGCAGTAAGATCACTTTGAGTAACAGAGAAAAGAACTGGAGTTTTGTAATGGACTTAACCTACTGTGTATCATGATTGTGATGAATCAGATATGACATCAGGGGTACTTGTATGTCAAAATGGTGTGATTTGATACCTCCTTGTGACTTGTATGTCAAAATGGTGTGATTTGATACCTCCTTGTGACTTGTATGTCAAAATGGTGTGATTTGATACCTCCTTGTGACTTGTATGTCAAAATGGTGTGATTTGATACCTCCTTGTGACTTGTATGTCAAAATGGTGTGATTTGATACCTCTTTGTGACTTGAATGTAAAATTGGTGAGATTTGATACCTCCTTGTGACTTGTATGTCAAAATAGTGTGATTTGATACCTCCTTGTGACTTGTATGTCAAAATGGTGTGATTTGATACCTCCTTGTGACTTGTATGTCAAAATGGTGTGATTTGATACCTCCTTGTGACTTGTATGTCAAAATGGTGTGATTTGATACCTCCTTGTGACTTGTATGTCAAAATGGTGTGATTTGATACCTCCTTGTGACTTTTAGGTTGGTATTTGATACCTCCTTGTGACTTGTATGTCAAAATGGTGTGATTTGATACCTCCTTGTGACTTGTATGTCAAAATGGTGTGATTTGATACCTCCTTGTGACTTGTATATCTAAATGGTGTATTTTCCATTTGTTGGGAGCTGAAAAAAAAGAGACCCCAAATGGTTTCTTATTCATAATTTTCAGGCTCTGTCTTATTTGGTTGAGTAACAAAAGTCAGGTAACAAGAAGGAAATTATAAGGTCTTAATCCAACAGTTTCAGGTTTCTTCGTCTGTAGTGCAGGCTGGTGTTTGTTATTGATGCGGGTGCTAATGAAAATCAAATAATGTGTTCATTCCCAATGTGTACTGTGCCAACAATGGGTACTGTGACCTGCCAGGTTTAATCATGGTAACGATTATTTGATTGCAGCTGAATATCTGCCTCCAGCAAATATTCTGTAGTGATAATGTTAGCTCAGAAAACCAACTCTTCCACAGTCTGCAAGTACAGAAAACAATAAAATTAAGAGATGATAGTTGATGGTAACAGTTGTTCATGGTTTGAAAATTGAAGTTAATTATCAGGTATTTGGTCCAAGTATTAAGAAAACAATGATACTGTCTTTTTCATAACATATTTATAATACACAAATAAATGTCAAACACTGATGTAACTGTATGTCTAATGTTTGTATTGACACCCTGACATGGGTACAATGTTTGAAGCCGATTTCTGGTGTTCCCTGCTGGGATACTGACGGAATATTGCTCAAAGCGGCATAAAACCCAGCTCACTCTGTGTATACCAGTATACATGTACATGTATTTGGCTATACTTTTCCTCATGTATGTGAGTTTTTTGAGATGTAAGAATGTTTATAATATGCTGAGGATGCATATATTTGTATTTATATGCATGTGTACATATGTGTGGCTTTGGTTGTGTGTGTGTGTGCTTTGTATATATGTGTGGTCAAATCATCAGAGTAAATGTGAGCATGTCTGTTGATGTAAATACGTACAATCGGTCTTTGCTCCTATATGATTGTATGCCTATATGGTCCATTTATTAACCATTTATATATTCCTTAGGTATAGGTAATTTGTATATACCCTATCTGTGACGTTACTTAATAAATAATCAATTCATTCATTTATTCATTGCATATTGCTTACAAGTTTTACAAATCCTAAGTGAGATGTTATTATTGTAATTGATAATCTACACTTGCCAACCATGTATTAAACAATTATATACACCACCATCTTGCAGCTTCTGAAGGCAAAGTATTATATATTATTTAGAGTGAGTGAGTGAGTTTAGTTTTACGCCGCACTCAGCAATATTCCAGCTATATGGCATCGGTCTGTAAATAATCGAGTCTGGACCAGACAATCCAGTGATCAACACCAGGAACATCGATCTGCGCATTTGGGAACCGATGACATGTGTAAACCAAGCCAGCGAGCCTGACCACCCAATCCCGTTAGGCGCTTCTTACAACAAGCATGGGTTTCTGAAGATCAATATTCTAATCTGGACCTTCACGGGTATCTTTAATTTAGAAATATCGTTAGTTGATATATTATATCGTACACATCATTCATTCAAATTGGTTACGCAATTTGTATGCAGCTGTTGTTTACTTTTTGTCACTCATGAGAGTTATGTCCCTTTACTGACATAGTCAGAAATTACCTGCCAAACATATATGCATGCTAAATTATTCAAAATGTTTATAACCTAGAATATTTATAACGTGCATCATGCTAGACATGGGTATTTATGCATTAATTATTTCACATGCTCATAATATCAACTCTGGTTTGTCTGGTCCAGACTTCATCGGTTGACAAGTGTCATTGTATCCCAGTTGAGTAGATTGATGCTCATGCTGTTGATCACTGGATTGTCTTGTCCAGACTCAGTTATTTAGGAGATAATCCTATTGTGTTTACATTTTGGAAGTGATTATTGTTGGTTGAACGCTGCTAAATGTCATTTAAAACCGAATGCGTTAGCGTGACATATGCACCATGAATAAAACGCATTCTAAATATGCACTCATTATCCTTGCGTAGTGTTTTGACACTACGCGCAGTGAACCGGCTCTCAGAAGTGGTTATTGAAAATTTTTCCCTTCTAATTTTTTAGTAACAGCCAATCAAAAACAAACATACTTAAATGTCATGGTAGAATTACAGACTACCACCAATCAATGTTTACAGGACAACTCCAAATTATGAGCTGGAAGATTAAAAGAACCCAGCAGTTTGTGATAGATTAACATAAATCAATCAGGAAATCATCATTCCTTAACATGCGTAAATATGCAGTTAATATACACTTGTCAAAGGTTACCATCCAGACAACGGAATACCTAACTCTGTGGAAAGGCTTTCCTCCCCCAAATCCAAGCAGATACATAATAAGCCCCTGTAATGTTTATAGTGTTTTTATGGACACTGGGCCAGTGTTTCATCATCCTATACTGATCACACAGTGTACCTGCAGGCTGGAAGGGGTGAACTGGGTGCAGCCATCAATCCTCACACCATTGCTGGGGCTGATTGCTGTATACATAACTCACCCAGTGTTCAGTCTGGGACACTGGAGCATGACACTGTGTGCTTCAAAGCTGAGTGATTTGTTATTGACTATGTCCTACTTTTTGAGACCAGAAATGGATATGCCTGATGAGAGTACTTTGTTTCAGCTGTGATAAGTCTGTATTTATCCAGTGTTGAATCGCCACAAAAATCTGTCCAGATGGCCGGACTGACAACTCTCAAACCTGTCCATTTGGAAAATTGCCCAGATTTTTTATATTGAATGAACCACATCTTTACAAATGATAATACAACCAGTCATGTAAATGGTACAGTGAGTGAGTGAGTTTAATTGTACGCCCCTTTTAGCAATATTCCAGCAATATCAATGTGGGGGACACCAGAAATGAGCTTCACACATTGTGGCCATATGGGGAATCGAACCCGGGCCTCAGCTTGACGAGTGAACACTTTAACCACTAGGCTACCCCACCGCCCCAATGGTACAATGTCCACACACTGTTTTGGTACACAAAATGTTGTGCAATTGCTTTGATAGGTCATTTGTACATGATAAAAATTCATGTAGTTTCCTAAATGCTAGCATCAGGTTCGGTTAGACTGTACAACTGATCTCAATTCCACGATCATCATGTTAGCAAGTATAAATTTGTATTGTTTAAATAATCAACATGACCACAATGGTATTTTCTAAAATCCCAAGACATAAACTGACCATTTTGGAATGTCAGACGGAAGGGTGTTAATGATGTTGATTTGTCACGTCTTGTTCTCAAGAGTCTTATCTGTTGTCAACATGCATCAATTATCCTTCTGCTGACATTAAATTAAAAAATCACGTTTGCATAATGGATATGAATGAATAAAAAGTTTAAAAAGCTCACGTCTCTGTACAGATGTTTCATCACCTTTGCGTGTGTTACATAAATCAATATCTATAGAGTAGGTTTGCAAATATACATCATCATTTAAATGCTACAATCATAATATGTAAATAATAGTATCAATCTCATTATGCTACCATATCTCGAGAACCATATCGTAACAGGTTTAATCCACAGAGCTTGTGCCCTCGGGGCTGTGTTTTGATTTCTTCCTTGATCAGCGTCCTCAGTTCCTCGTACTGTTTTATTTATGTGTGTGTAAACGATGATGTATGAGGAGCAGGGATGATGTAAGCTCTAGCAACAGATTGGCTATATAAGGAGGATTGGGACAAAGTGTTACAGAGTTTCTGAACTTACCTGTGAACAAGTTCGGATTGTTCTTTCAATAGTTACGGACTTTGTGGTATTTATCAATATGGATGTGTCGACAAGGAGTTTTAGTAATGTTTGGGACACATATGATATGAAATTGAAACTGAACAACAACAACATATCCTGGAACTGTCATCAGAATATTGATCAGGTAACTGTTTTGATGATTTTTAAAATGTTAACTTAACAGTGGTGTAAAATGTCAGTTAAAAGTCATGCATACCGGTATGCAGATTTCCAATTTTAGGTTGTATGCTTACATGACAGGGTTAATGTTTCTTGCAGTTTGACTGATTGTCATTTGAAATGTTTTTGCCCAAAAGGTTCAGTTTTTGCTTATGGCATAGAAGGATGTATATGATAGGAGGATCAGTTGTGTCAATTAAATCTAGTGAAAGTGAATCTGTTTAAGGACATCAATGAGATGTTTGTCAGGCATGCAACAGATCACGTTGAGCCAAACGTATATTAAGTATACATTTGGCTCAACGTGATCTGTCAATGAATTTTAGCCTCAGGTCATTGTATCAAACTTTGTCACATGTTGTTTGGGTTTATTATCCCCCGCCGCACGTTTAGCTCGAAGCGGGGGATATAGTATTAGGCTCCGTCCGTCGTCCGTCCGTCCGTACGCACGAATTGGAATATCTTAAGAACCGTTCACTAGATTCTTTTCATATTTGGTACCTGGGTTCATCACACTATAAGAAAGACCCAAGTCAGGTTGGTGACCTTGACCTTCATTTCAAGGTCACATGGGGACTTTCACGTTTTACCTGCATGTTAAGCTATCTCAAGAACTGTTCACTGGATTTCTTCATATTCAACCCCATGCTTTATCTAGGGAAGGCGCAGGGCCCAGTCAATTTTGGTGACCTTCACTTAATTTTCAAGGTCACAGAGACACTTTGAAGATTTCAGCATATTAAGCTACATGTTATGTTTGTCAGCAAGATACCTCAAGAACCATTTACTGGAGTTTCTTCATATTTGACACCAAGCTTTATCCAGGGAAGGCGCAGGGCCCAGTCGATTTTGGTGACCTTCACTTAAGTTTCAAGGTCACAGAGACACTTTGAAGATTTCAGCATGTTAAATTGCTTGTTAAGATAGTCAGCAAGATATTGCAAAAAATATTCAGTGGACTTTCTTCATATTTGACACCAAGCTTCATCTAGGGAAGGCCCAGGGCCCAGTCAATTTTGGTGACCTTCACATAATTTGTAGGGTCACGACGACACTATGAAGATTTCAGAATGTTAACCTGAATTGTCAGCAAGATATTTTAAGAATGGTTCACTGGATTTTCTTCATAGACTTTCAAGACCACCCTTGAATGTTTTCAATAAGCAATTTCTTTAGTACTAGTTTTGCATATTTCATACACTATGACATTCATGTCAAGGTCAAAGTCAGTCTTGAACAACTAAAGAGCAAGATAATGTTTTTGTTGACATTTAACTTCATCTTAAACTTTCATTACTTTATAAGTTTGATTTGTTAATTTGCGGCGGGGGATTATGTCACCTTAGTGACAATGCTTGTTTTCAAATATGATTCCAAAGAAAACCAGTAAAAGAAAAGTAAAAGAGGTGTTATGTAGTACGTTACAGATCTTGGCAAGCAGTGGGATGGTGTCTTCTTCATGATCGTTTTCTTAGTGAATTTCTGTTGCTGAAGGTGTTTGATGCTGTATCTTTGAGAAATGCAAAACAATGAAACATAAACCCCAAACAGCACATAATTCTTCAGATGTGAATGATGTGGATGATGAGAGTGAACATTTCAATTATCTAAAAACAGTTTCATTATCTGTGGGTAGTGGTAGTTACCTGGTGCACATGTGACCTAGGTGGGGATGTCCGTGAGGCTCACCCACCCTTGTGCATAGAGAGATGATAATTGCGTTATATATATTTACACAGGAGGTGGTAATGCTAAAAACTGGCATCAAGGCTTATAAAATCAATAACAGGGTATTAGCTCTCTATATAAATTAACTTATTGCAGCATCAAGGCTTATATAGTCAATGGTGAGGTATTAGTGATATATAAAGGTTAACTAGCAAGGTTTATATTGTCAATGATTAGGTATCGGCACAATAGAAAAGTTTCTATAGAGAGCTTATACCCCAGTCATTGACTGTATAAACCTTGATGCTTTGTTTTTAGCGTTACAAGATCCTGTGTCATTCATTCATTCATTCATTCATTCATTCATTCATTCATTCATTCATTCATTCATTCATTCATTCATTCATTCATTCATTCATTCATTCATTCATTCATTCATTCATTCATTCATTCATTCATGTTTCAGGTCGGCCAGGAGGGCCACGAGACCCACCCACCCATGTATGTTGAGGCATTCAAAGACAATGAGGGAAGCACCAGTCTTGTCTTCTCCCTGGATGAGAAGGTCGGAGCTCTGGCTGAGGCTCTCAAAATCCTGGAGGTGAGGTTTCAGGTATTTCTACCAAAGTGAAAAAACAGGGCTATTGTATATTAGCTCACTGCAGTATGAATTTGAAGAAGTGGCTGAAATATTCTGGGGCTAAGATTTGAGGGAGTTGGATGCTATGTATATTTCAGCAAGATCCCACCAAGGACCACACACCATCAAGGATGCTGTGGTGTCTAAATCCCACTGTTGAGAAGGACAGTTTTCTGGTCATGTAAAAATTTCTTGACAGCAGAAATCACACTATGCCTGCCAAATATTATTTTCCATAAGTTATGGAAGGAGTCACCTGGGAATCGGATGGTGCCAATCTGGTGGATATGGATGATGTTCAGGAAGTCCAAAGCCACGATCTTGCACTGCTAGCCCGCCCTGCAATCCTTAAACCCTAAATGAAACAAGTCTAGATTTCCCCAGGTTCTGAATAATTTCACATCTGACTGGGGCTCCTTTTCAATTTAAATGGGTCTATTTGTTGCTGTCAAAATTATAGATATTCAGAGACTAAGCGTTAGTCTAATCTTCCTGATTTGAGTCCATCTTTGATGGTCCCTCTATCCGTCATGAACTCAGTTGCTGAACTCTTAGCAGTGGCAATTTTAGGAAGAAACATCATCCTTAAGGATGGCTGATGGAGTTAGCTCTTAGATATGGAGATTCTAGATGACAGCCACTTTTGTTCCATTAACACCAGAGAATATGTAGTCACTGGGGAGCATGCATATGTATCCTGCATGGCTGTGTATTTTGTACACATATAGTCTCTAGGGAAGCATTGCATTTAATAACATATGCAAACTTTTATTGGTCAGAACTTTCCAGCCAAGGGTCATATATCATATAATATTCCACACTTAATATTATACTTATCCTGTTCTCATGTTGTAACAGTCTCATCAGTTGAAACTTTCATTTCAGCATTTTGCAGGTATGGTCACACATGGACAAAAACATGTTTTGTATACATTAGGGTCTAAATGTCCGTGAGGTCAGTCAAGAATAACAACATAAAACTATTTGGGTTTAGTGTTTTAGGGTGTAGGTCGTGATCGACAAACAGTTTTGATAAATGTCCCTAAATGTACAAACCATCGTTGTTGAACATTTCAGGACTATAAAGTGAACTTGCATCACATCGAGTCTCGGCCAGCGAAAGATGATCCCAAACGTTACGAGTTCTTTGTAGCGTGTGATAACATGACTGGGGGTCTGAAGGAAGCCACGGAGAGCCTGCGACACAAGGCCCGGGATCTGACCGTCCTGTCACGCAGTCTTGGAGAACAAAATGATGAAGGTACGTCATAAATAAACACCAGCCTTTCAAGTGGTTTTTATGGCCTGAAAACCTCTTGCCATAGCAATAAATCACTTGGTTTACTGACAAGTCTACTGTTTATTTTGGAAAAGGGAAAATGACAAAGAAATGTTGTTTTTGAAAGCATTATGGGATTTTAACAACAAAATCCATACACAACAAAATATATTGGTATGGTATTGCTGTTTACACACCATCAGGATGTTCCGAGAATAGTTACAGATAAGTCACAGTCGAGTTGGAGGTAGATGGTAGTTGGAGATAAGTCATCATTCGAGATAAGTCATAGTTGGAGATAAGTCATAGTTGGAGATAAGTCATAGTTGGAGATAGATGGTAGTTGGAGATAAGTCATCATTCAAGATAAGTCTTAGTTGGACATAAGTCATAGATGGAGATAAGGCATAGTTGGAGGTAGATGGTAGTTGGAGATAAGTCATCATTCAAGATAAGTCATAGTTGGAGATAAGTCATAGATGGAGATAAGTCATAGTTGGAGATAGATGGTAGTTGGAGATAAGTCATCATTCAAGATAAGTCATAGTTGGAGATAAGTCATAGATGGAGATAAGATAAGTCATAGTTGGAGATAAGTCATAGATGGAGATAAGGCATAGTTGGAGATAGATGGTAGTTGGAGATAAGTCATCATTCAAGATAAGTCATAGTTGGAGATAAGTCATAGATGGAGATAAGTCATAGTTGGAGATAGATGGTAGTTGGAGATAAGTCATCATTCAAGATAAGTCATAGTTGGAGATAAGTCATAGATGGAGATAAGGCATAGTTGGAGATAGATGGTAGTTGGAGATAAGTCATCATTCAAGATAAGTCATAGTTGGAGATAAGTCGTGGATGGAGATAAGTCATAGTTGGAGATAAGTCATAGATGGAGATAAGTCATAGTTGGAGATGGATAATTGGAGATAGATGGTAGCTGGAGATAAGTCATCAGTTCAAGATAGAGGTAGTTGGAGATAAGAGATAAGATGGTAAGTTGGAGATAAGTCGTGGATGGAGATAAGACATAGTTGGAGATAAATGGTAGTTGGAGATAAGTTGTAATTGCCATGGAGATGAATGGTAGTTGAAAATTGGGCGTAGTTGAAGATAGGTGATGGCTGGAAACAGTTGACAGTTGGAGATAGTGGATAGCTAGTCTGTTACATGTTGGGGATAGATGGTTATATATAATGAACAGCATTAGAGTTACGCACCACCCATATAATACGAAATATCCCCGTCAGACTAAAATGTACCCATGATATCTGAGCATTGTCGGTGCATTTTAGTGTGGTGTGTTTCTAATTTTGTTCAGTATAGTTGGAGAGAGATGATAGTTGCTCTGGTGTGAAGCACTGTTGAAAATCATAGGTGTTTGGAGATAACGTGGATGGGAATAGGAGATAGAAAATGGTATGTAGTTGTTAAAGTTCAGTGTTAGTTGGATAGGTGATAGTTAGGGCAGGGTGATAGTTGGAGACTATAGCTTGAAATAGGTTGTACTGGAAACAGATGGTTGTTGGAAATAGATGGTGAGTGAGTGAGTGAGTTTAGTTTAGTTTTACGCCTCACTCAACATTATTCAACCTATATGGCGGTCTGTAAATAATCAAGTCTGGACCAGACAATCCAATGATGAACAGCATGAGCATCGATCTATGAAATATGGGATATGATAACATGTGTCAACCAAGTCAGCGAGTCTGGCCACCTGATCCGGTTAGTCACCTCTTACGACAAGCATGGGTTACGAATCTTCACAGGTTGAAAATAGATGGTAGTCAGAAATAGATGATATTGGAGGTAGATGGTATTTGGAAGTTTGTTGGTTTGGGTACATAGAAGTTTTTCATTTCTTGAAACATAGATTATTGCATCATGTTGGCAGCCATTCTCTTCCCACAGAGGTGTCTTGTCATATCTTCCTACGAACCTCTGTTTTAATACGGCCATATTTCCCGGTTTTCGTAAAATCCCCTAGTGGCAAAAAGTCTGTCTAGAAGAAACGTTTGCGCATCGCGCAGGGGAAGAGGTTCTAGTTTTCCCGAAGCATACGGAAATTCCCGAGGCCTTGCGAATGATCACTTTTGAAACAACGTCACTGATTGCACAACTAAATCTGATTGCAACCAATCACGAATCCTGAACACTCGCACCGTGAAAGGGACGTATTAGAGCAGAGGTTAGTAGGGAGATATGACAAGACACCTCTGTGGGAAGAAAATGGTTGGCAGCGAAGCTTAGTTCTGTATTCTGCACACGTAATGAGATTCATGTGACACTCAACACAGATGCATCACCCTTTACAGCTGTTTAGTTACAACGCTATGATTAAAGTTTTGTTGTGTTCATTGCAAATCATGCATTATGATGAGGTGAACTGGTCATGCAAATATACCAGAATGTAAGTAAATGAAGCCATGCCCATTGAAGTAGATGTAACTGCCATCACAAAGTAAAGCATGACAGGGAATTTCAATAATGATTTCAGCTGAGTGAAGTCACATTTTGCTCACCTGAATCAACTTAAAGCTATCATGTTTTGCCAGAATACCGTCAGTGAATTCAAACAGTTTCCACATTGGAAATTGGTTTATATCACAATAAATTGACACAAATACACATTCAGTCCTTGAAGTGAAAGTGGTGTATTATACAGAACTGCATGTTTTAGGAATGTTGTCCAATGGTTTTCGTCAAACTCATACTCACAACATGCATGTTTTAAATTGTGTCGCAAGCAGAAAGTGAAGAGGCAGTTTCTAGTTTGAAATGCAATATACTGATGATAAATAGTAATGGAACCCTTTAAAATACACATTCAATCCTTGAGGTGAATGCAGTATATAGAACTGCATGTTTATGGAATGTTGCCCAATGGTTTCGTTAACTTCATCCACACAACATCCGGCGTTTCGTCATTAATGCAGAAAGTGAACAGTTACTTTCTAGTTTGAAATACCCTATACTGATGATAAAAAGTAAGGGAACACACAACATCCGTGTTGTACGTCTTGCGCCATGCAGAAAGTGAAGAGTTACTTTCTAGTTTGAAATACCTATACATGATAAAAAGAAGGGAGTTACTTTCATGCAGTTTGAAATACCCTAGTTTGAAATACCGATACTGATGATAAAAAGTAAGGGAACACATGTTAAAGACAACACACTTGGAAGAAATATCTACTATCAATACTCAAAGACACTGTGAGAGCAAACATGTGTCCACATCAGATGGACATAATTCACAGAGGTACAAATGTTCATATGTTATACATATAACACTATCTGGGTATTGTAAATATTGAATGTTTGTGATGTGTTAACTAATTTCTATCCATCGGTATATCTCTTCCTGTATCTGTTTGGATCATCCTCCTGATGCATGTATAACTAATATTGTATATTTTGGTGTTATGCAATCCTGGGATTGTAAAACTAATGGCTTTTCCACCAATGTTAGTCGTCCCTGGAAACAGCTGGTATACTAACACAGGAAGCATGTCATTTCAGTGAATCATTTTTAATCCTAATAATGTGTTCAGGAAATCTGATATGACTCATGCTTTGAATGATTAACCTTGCTTGGCTAGCATGTCTTTGTTAAGACAGATTTACATAGAACATAACAAGTTTTATGTTCTGAGTGAGTCTCTGTCTCATACGTTTTGGTTATATGCACCAGGATGCTGGGATATAATCAGAGATGCCAACCCATACAATGTTTTCGTATTCGTTACGAAAAATCAACACAAAATACGCGACTACCATAGCAGTAAAAATATACAAAAAATACATTGAATTAAATTATGAAATAGCAATGTACCATACACAATAAATTTCAACCACATTTAATTCAGTATCAAGCAATATGTGGGTACTAACTACTGATTTACCGGTAGGAGAGTACAATGCTAATAACAGGTTCTTAGAATATCTATATATTGTTTATTAAATATGAAAATTCTTTGGAAACGTTTATACTAATTTGGGCCAAAAAAAAATACTAATTTCTGCATCAGTTACTGTCCAAAATACTAATTGGGCTAAATTAGGGTTGGCATCTCTGTATAATTCTTCTACAGCTATGACAGTTTATGATATATTGTTTATTATATATATTGTTTTTGCTGAGTCCCAAATATAACACCATGGCATTTTAATTTATGTGTTATACATTTTGCTGTTTTCTGTTTGGATGGGAAATATGAAAGAAAGACAAATTGATACATCACTCATAGAGGCATTGTGCTTGTATAACAGGGGTTTCTCTGCTGTTTCCAATACATTTGTGGTATGGACTAAATTTTTTTATTTTTTTTTTTTTTTATTTGCTGTTGAATACATGAACTCAAAAACTGTACAACAGTATGAGATATGTTGGTACACAAGCTGTGATGGGTTCGAGATACCCATAATCACCTCAATGAACACACACTGTGCAAAGAAGGACCTTCAAGGATAATCAAATGTCCTGTAACATGGTAAAATTAATAATGTTTACCAGGTATCATATTTGCAAAATGTCACCATTACTGAGGAGGCCTTGTTTAGGCAATCTTCTTATTTCCTGTTGAATGTGATAGGGGCCTCTGCCCTTTGTACACAATGTGGTATAACGTCTTATAGCAAGATCATCCTGCAACACAAACATCTACCAAGCAACACATAGTAAATAACACTTGGTATGCTCATCTAGCATTCAGTGGGAGAAATAACATGGTGCTTAATGAACAAAAATCAATACATGACAACCTGTATCCGCTTCGTCAATTACATACAATTTATCCCAACTCAGCTTTGTGTAATCTAAGAACAGATGCATTAATACCCACAGAAACTGAGATTCCTTACAACTATATTAAACACGACTTTTAAAAGTATGGACTAAATTTATCAAAGACAGAAAGATGAAAATGTCATGAAGAAGCAATTATATACCACAAAGTTTTCAGTTCAATAAATGTTTCATGACTCCTCCTCCCTTCCCCCACCCCCAAAGACAATACTGCTTTTTCAGGTTCGTAAAACAGGCATTCGCCTGACTTGTACTGACATACTGTATATTATCAAAATCTGAAAATGCTGACTCTGCTAATTTAGCCACACACAGCTGTGTACAGACTGATGTCGATCAAATATTTACCTTTCAGCTATTATGCTTAATATGTTGAGTATTGTATTCTACCCATAAAAAAATTTAGACTCATTTAAAGGACTCACTATATGTTATGTATACATATATGGTTACTTCAATGATGGATTTATCTTGGGGGAACCAACTGCAAACCTAATGCAGCTGAATTGCACGAGGATCATGCATCAGATTGCTAATAAGCATATGCAAATATCGTGATGTGAACAGCTTTGTTTTGGTGTAAAGTTTTGTTAAGAATTCGCCAATTTTCACTGAGTTTTATCCTTCATTGTATTCATGACAATAATCTTTTCAACGTTACGAATTGGTTTTACGATACATCTGTGAGTTCATGTGTAAACAGTACCTTTAAACAGTATGGAATATTTTGCAACATTTAGTTCAGAACAGTTTACTGAAGTAAGTGGCTACATTTACACTAGTGAGTCTAAACTTTTGATGGGTAGTATATATTATAGTTTATGGGCCATTGTTTGTTCCATGCAGATCCTGACAATGGTAATATGCAAAACCAGTGCATTGTCTGTGATTATGTGTACTCTCTTAGATTAGTTTAGAATAGTGCTGACAAAATACAATAGAGAGTTACATTTGGAGAAGAAGGCCATGTTAGTTAGGCAAAATGTTTCTCATCAGAAGGGTCCTGTTACTGTGACAGTGACGAGACCATTAAACATGCTTTGTCTTTTTATAAACCAAAAACTCCAGAATTTTGGTGATATCAAAAATATACCAAAACAATTGGAAAATCATTTACCAAACAGAACCAAACCTACTGATCACTTGTTTTAAGTGAGTGTGTATGGTTTTACATCGCTTTAAGCAATATTCCAGCAATATCACGGCGGGGGACACCAGAAATTGGCTTCACACATTGTACCCATGTGGGGAATCAAACCCAGGTCTTCAACATGACGAGCGAACGCTTTAACCACGAGGCTACCCCACCCCTTGTTTTAAGACACATGCATGGTGATGAGAGACATTTTACCTTTAATGCCTGACGAAGCATGTATATATACAGTGTTGTATAGTGGCTAGTGTTGACTAACCTTGATGTGTTTGTATATATGTTTTCTGCATGACATCAACAGGTCCTAGTTTAACCATTGGTAGGGGCATTACAGGTCAGTTTATTTATCATTTGCTTTGGCTGAGTCAGCAGGAAGCGTGGCCGATTACACAGTTGTGAACATGTGTTATATAGCTTGTGTTCTATCATTCAGTTCCATTCCATATTACCAGGAAATTTTAGGAAACGTGCAAAGGAAGATCAAATCAAAATTAGAACTGGCTATCGCTGAAGATCACAGAGATTGATAATCGTTAACTAAATATCGATCGATTATCGATAAATATTGAAGACGTAACTTGCCGTACGTAAAAATGCCCAAACTGTCTGAAAGAAATGAATATATACTCATGCCAATAATGGTTGTCACCCCTCCCCACCCCAACCCCACACCCTCCACCCCCACCCCACACGCCCTCTCCAATTAAAAAATTGAAGGGGTGACAACCATTATTGTCATGAGTATAGTTCACATGACCAGAGAGTGGTGACATGTTCATGCATGGATTGCTAACGAAACAGTATCCCGAACATAATTTAGAAGCAGGCCATGAATAAAGTCCTAGATTTGCATACTGAGTGAGAAAATTAAATCTTTATTCTTTCATAAAAGGCACTATACCATAATATTGACAACACAATTTTCATATCGATAATCATTAACAATTTTCCCAATCGGCGATATTTTATCCAACCCTAATTAAAAATACTGTTGTTTTAGTAGATATATAAGCGAAGATGGTATTTGGATATCATTTTCTTTGTTACACTGAGATTTGCACGATTTGCTTCATGGCTCAAGGTCAGTATTTAAACCCATGGAATTAGATCAATTTGCATTTTACTGTTTGTAATTGTATACACTACAGTAAGGCCCCTGATGTCGTCACAATTTGTGTCTATTTTTATCTCTAGCATTACAGTAACTACCGATTTAGACAGAATTCTGTTGAAAAATCAGGTTTTTAACCTTTTGAATTAAAAATAATAATAAAATGTTTGCATTTTCATGTCTAAAGAATACGATGGTGAGAGTATATGTCTCTTCACTCGGACCTTGTGTACTGTTTTCATGAATTCACTTTTTTCTTTTTATATTCCTTGCACCATTCACATTTGATCTTTGTAAAAAAAATATAATTTGAACTGACATTGATGAAAAACTCTCCCTTCCTGTCTGACTCAGCACATACTAAGTTGCTATTTGTAGCCCCTAACAGCCTCCTATAATGTTTGTATGTATTATACTCCTGTGTGCTTTAAATGTTATATCTGTACTTATTGTTCTGTTGTACTGTGTTGTACTTTGTTGTACACTACTGTTGTTATGTGTCATTCCTGTACTGAAGTAGAAAAAGCCCAAAACAACCATTTGTTAGTTTGTTGTTTAACACCGCACTCAGCAATATTCCAGCTATTTGGCGGAAGTCTGTAAATAATCGAGTCTGGACCAGACAATCCAGTGATCAACATCATGAGTATCTATCTATGCAATTGGGATACAATGACATGTGGCAACCTAGTCAGTGAGCCTTGTCATGTATTACCAATCCTTTTCCGCATATGAATATTGAATTCCGGAAAGCTATAAGCTGTAGCTGACAAAGTGATCACAAGCCTGACCACCCGATCCCGTTAGTCGCGTTTTACGACAAGTATGGGCTACTAAAGACCAATTACATTAACCACTAGAGTGGTGTTTCTTAAAATGTGGGCAGGGTGACATGGTCACCCTAGTGCAGTCCAGTAACCACTCCTGAAAACCCGTCTGAGGTGTGAAGGTGTAGAACTTAGATAAGAAACACGATAGCGACAAAATAACGTGATCTGTCATAACTTAAAATCTGTGAAACTTTTAACACCTGGGTTAAAATGAACTTCATTCTTGATAACCTAATACATGTTTTGACAAACTCATGTCAATGATAAGCAAACCACTCCTTTGTATTTTCATGTCTGTTTGCACGTACAAATTGTGTTTAAAAATATGGGTCATTATATGCAAACTGCTACAGGAAATAACATTTTTATGTAAATATGAATTTTTTTATCATATATGAAAGGATTAATTACCGTATCAATAAATAAACTTTCCTTCCAGATGTAATAAATAGTGCTAAAATATTGAATTGGCAAAAATAATAATAAAATAATGTATCTGGTAGATTTATGTAATTGAAGTCACTAAGCAGGGCCTAGATATTCGAAGCCTTCTTAGCGCTAAGATAGTCGTAAGTGTCATACATTAACATTAACTTACGACTATCTTAGCGCTAAGAGAGCTTCGAAAATCTAGGCCCTGGACCTTTTTCAGGGTTTGTCAAAAGCTTTAATTTTTTCATGAATCTTTCAGTTCCATGGTTCCCTCGTCGAGTGAAGGAATTGGACAGATTCGCAAACCAGATACTCAGTTATGGAAGTGAACTCGATGCTGATCACCCGGTTAGTACAGCTCAATTTACAGTGCAATATTGATATTCTTTGGTGAAAATTGCTGGAAACATCTCAGACTTCTTCAGGCTCTTCAGATGATGAGGTTTCAGAGCAGGTTGTTCCAGCAACAGTGAAAGTTGGCAAACTTATCTAAGACATATTTATCATGCTTATCAAGACTGAGTTAAAAAGCTTGTGCTTTTAAAATTATTTTTTTTATCAGAGTTTTACCTTGCTCAATGGAGTTTACTCCTTAACTCCATCTTTGCAGCATTAACTTCATACTATTCCTACTCTCTGATCAAAGGAAATAAGAATGTGATGAAGGGGATTATAATAATGCTGTTTTTTTTGTCTAACTGAGATTTATCATAACAATAATGTTTGGGTCCCTTTGGATCTGTACAGCTTTTTCCCTGTATGATCATGATGATCATTATGGCATCTGTCGATATTGACATTACTATTACTGTTGTTTCATATTAGCACTTATGTATTTTGGTGGAAGCAATATACAGCGTACACTGGGTGACTCAAAATATAAGATCACGTTGTAATTTCATGAAGCTCTCATAAAATGTTCCAAATGCTTTTGTCTGCAAATCCTTCATCCATTGGTTGTGATAATTTTTTTGCAATACTGTTTCAGAGTTGACTCATTGTAACTTCTTTATTCTTTAATGCACTGGATATTACCACTTCGTCATGATGGAAGTGTATAGCTGTAGGAAGTTGAATCCAAGTGAACACTTTCTTCTTAAGTATCACTTAAATACTGTAATCGTAGTTATTTTCGCATGGGATTAATTTTCGTGCTTTTAGCGCAAACTGATTGTGCGTCAATAATCATACCAAGCGAATTATTCATGGTCAAGTCATGACAAATACTCAAGTAGGAACAACATGCCATTTGTTTATTCTCTCAGATAACATCAAAACAATATATAAAGGAATAGAGGCATATACTAGTATACTAGTAATAGCGATCACAATCAGCAAATGTTTGTTATCAGTTTGTCAGTTAATTGATAGCTGATTACTCGTAATCACAAAATGAACGAAGCTCACTTACATCAGTCACAAATCACAATGTTGACACAAGTATAATCCCACCTCTCTCTGATTGTTTTAGTAAACACGATTCAATTATGGCGGCTAGCTTTGATCATTGCATGTCTACGGGTTGTGAAAACTTTGTGATGGACACCATCACTCAGGCGTTTGAAATGTGCAAAAAAACTACTGCTCTAATAGGTCTTTTGTGAACTTTCCGCGAAAATATATACGATTACAATTTGTTTTCTTTCAATATCATACTTATCAGTATTACAGTGGCAATGGACTGAGTTGTAGGGTAGTTTAGTGCTGGGTTAAAGTTTTAACAGTAAGATGTTACAAGAGTAAGGTTATTTCTCCAGCAGTAAGATAGTTCGACAAACTTATTTAACAGATTATTTACAGTTTTGAACTGGTGTATATGTTCCAGGGCTTTAAGGATCAGGTGTACAGGGCTCGAAGGAAGGAGTTTGCTGACATAGCATTTCACTACAAGCAGTAAGTATATGTACTGTACACAGGTAAAATATCACACAATAAAGGGCTTAGGTGTTCATCTTGGCAAAATGAGTCATTCTGCGTTCATATACCTCTGACAAAAGTGATGGATATGGAAAAACTATAATAAGTATCATTGCTAACCGTTAGATAATAAAATTCCAAAGCTGCTCAATTCGAGAAAAAATGTAACTTTTTGACCTTTCACATTAATATTCTTTTTCTATTTCAGTTTTATTCTGAACTCAGTACACAGTATGGCATCAGTTTAAAAACATGTTTTTGTATTTTTATTTCTTTATTTTCAACAAATAAATATATTACTATTTTTCTCCAAAGCATGGGCTCAAAGTTTGGGGGAAATTTGTTAAATATATTTGTCTGTGATCAAGATGGCTTTATGTTAGATGAACGTGCTCTTTGTTGATAAATTGTTGTGACTTCCTAGTCATTGCCAATGTCCTTTGTTTGAGTACAGGCGGTCAAACTGACTTATATTTTACTTTCTGCAGTGGGACTCCCATCCCTCTTGTGACATACACAGATGAAGAGATAAAGACTTGGTGAGTTACCTGTACATGTTCTCTACACTATTGATGCAATCATACACAACTATTTATCTATACAATTTCATTCGACACCTTCAATGTGGTAAAGCATAGAAATCAAACATTCAGGAAGACATTAAACTGACATACCATGATATAACAGAAATATGACATTAAACCCAACTCACCCACTCTCATAAATGTTGTGGAAGGTATTACCAAACCATTGCTCATTGTGGCGTAAAACAACATTCACTCTAACAGGGGCACCATCTTCCGGGAGCTGACGAAACTGTACAAGACACACGCCTGTCAAGAGTTCAACCACATCTTCCCCCTGCTGGTGGACAACTGTGGCTTCAGAGAAGACAACATCCCTCAGCTTGAAGACATCTCACAGTTCCTTAAAGGTAAAGTTTTTAAAGTGTTGAACGATATGGCAGTCAAACATGAGAACATTTTTAATATTACCTGTAAAGTGTTCAAATGCAACAATGTCTCACATCTTAAGGACAGTGTTTTTATTTTGGCAAGAATATCTCATCTAAGGGATCTTGGATTGTTATTTGAGACAAAACATGTTTTTGGATAAGGTCAAACTTTATGGATGAACAACTTCTTTTTTCGGATGATGCAACGTTTCGATACAGATTCTTGTATCGTTGTCAAGCAAAATATGCTTGTTATACCTGCGTGACAGCAATACAAGAATCTGTATTGAAACGTTGCATCATCCGAATACAGAAGTCGTTCATCCATAAAGTTTGTCCTTATCTGATTCACCAACTTCTAAATATGCCACTCAAAGAAGTTAACATGTTTTTGGTCATGCTTCCAATAAGTTCCTCTGAAAGGATAATTTTTATTGAGGAAACCCAAATTTCCTTTTTCAACTATCTTCTGGAACGTTGAGGGTTTTTAAAAATAGGCCCAGCCCCCCTGTCTAGTGACCTGCCAGACCATTTAAGACAATGTGACAAATATTGAGTATGTGTTTTTTGTAGACTGCACTGGCTTTACACTCAGACCAGTTGCGGGACTTCTGTCTTCACGTGACTTCCTGGCTGGCCTGGCCTTCCGTGTTTTCCACTCCACCCAGTACATCCGCCACCCATCCAAGCCCATGTACACACCAGAACCGTGAGTACCAGAGACTGGAGATCTGTCGTGGCGCTGAATAGCAGCACTTGGAAATATTGTTTGACCTTAATGTCCTCAAATCATTTCTCTCTAGTTTATAATATCGTAATTCAATTTGTATAAATATGCTCCACCCATTACTCCCAAGCTTTGTGTCTGACTCCAATGAAATTACCAAAATAGAATTTAGAAATCAGATTTAATAATCTATGTGATTGTGTGAGGTGAGGTGAGGTGAAATTGGGTTTAACGTCATGCTTGAGAATATTTCGCTCATATGGCGACGTGCATGTGTGTGTATGTGTATGTGCTTGTACTAGCCCAGACTGAAGCTGATTTATAGTGCTAGCCCACTGAGGTACCATGCCGCAGTGAAGCATGAATACCCCACTCAGACACATTATACTGACTCCGAGCCGACCAGTCCTTGTTGTACCCATTAATGCCGAGCGCCAGGCAGGGACCAACCAGTACCATATTTTAACGTCTTTTGGTATGACGCGGTCGGGGATCGAACCCGCGACCTTCCGCTCTCCGGACGGACATTCTAACCACTACACCACGGAGGCGGCCATGCAATTGTGTAATGTGACTGGTGGGAGATGATAGGGGAATCTATTCCCAAAATGTGATAAATTAGAAAGTGATAGAAGCCACTGCTTGCCAGCTAGTCAAATGCCAGTGGCTTTTAGTTTGGGCTGGAAATATTTCCGTAAAGGGCATCAAACTGAACTCTTGAAAATTCAGCTTTAAAGCAACACAGCAGACATATTTATTTTGTTCTTCCTGCTTTTAAAAGAATTTCAATGATTAAAACAAACAAAACTCACAAAAAACATTTAGGTTAACACAAAATATGTATGTTACAACTATGAAGTACAACAATTTCAATAGAAGGATTGTTTTGTTAAAAGCCTCCTGTCCAGTGGAACTATTCATATACACGATGGCAGGAGTAAGTGAGTGAGTATGGTTTTATGCCGCTTTTAGCAATAATCCAGCAACATCACGGCAGAGGACACCAGAAATGGGTTTCACACACTGTACCCATGTGGGGAATCGAACCCAGGTCTTCAGCATGATGAGCAAATGCTTTAACCACTAGGCCACCCCACCGCCCATGATGTAGATGAGGCATCTACGTGCTGTATGTTTCAGGGATGTGTGCCATGAGCTGCTAGGGCACGTGCCCCTGTTTGCCGACCCTACCTTTGCACAGTTCTCCCAGGAGATCGGTCTGGCTAGTCTGGGAGCCCCGGAGGAGTACATCCAGAAGCTGGCCACGGTGAGTCACGGTTGGATAGAGGAAGGGCAGTAACTCTCAACTTGTCCAAAATGTCCAATATTCCATCTGTGGCTTTATTTACCCTGTTAAAAATTGGAGGATCACCTACCAAAAGACATTTTTTAATGTGTACTTATGTTTAGCTACTGTCTGCATGGTTTTAGGACACAAATGTAAAATACCGGTACTCGTCTGTAATTAGAAGATCTTTAAAAGTTTGAGTAAAGGTGCACAATATTTCTTGAGCATATTTTAAAAGTAAAACATTAGAAACTGTTATTCCTAGTGCCATTCTGGGTGCTGTTGTGGAATCCTGTGATGATTGTTAAGCATGGGTGTTACAATCACCTAACACTTGGACGCCTCTGGTCAGTGGTGATCTTGCAGCTTTAACTTATGCCTCCATGATTGTTTCAGCTGTACTGGTTTACAGTGGAGTTCGGGCTATGTCGGCAAGGCAAGGAGCTTAAGGCCTATGGTGCTGGTCTCCTGTCATCATTTGGAGAGTTGCAGGTACTTCAGTTTTGTTATTAATAACTCATTTGTTATCAGTTGGAAAGACATTTAGTTATCATTCAGGTTAGGCAACACTAAATAAAATATATGCATACTTTAGGTATATACACCAAATATTTGTTTATTGATATGCTAAGTAAACAAATTTTATGTATACTGATAGAGGTATATACACCAAATATTTGTATTATTAACAAGGTATATAACGGAATACGTCTATACCATGATGTCATCATTTCTCTAAACCTCCATGTGATGTCATTAGTTCTGAACACTTCTATATGATGTCAACGCTTCATTCAACATCAGTGTAGTGTCATCATTTCTGTAAACCTCCATGTGATGTCATAAATTCTGAAAACTTCTATATGACGTCAACGCTTCATTCAACATCAGTGTAGTGTCATCATTTCTCTAAACCTCCATGTGATGTCATTAGTTCTGAAAACTTCTATATGATGTCAACGCTTCATTCAACATCTGTATAGTGTCATCATTTCTGTAAACCTCCATGTGATGTCATTAGTTCTGAAAACTTCTATATGATGTCAATGCTTCATTCAACATCTGTATAGTGTCATCATTTCTGCATATTCTGGTATTCTTCCTCTCAGTACGCACTGACCGATGAGCCAGACAAGAGACCATTTGACCCATCAAAGACTGCCCTACAGGAATATCCCATCACATCATTCCAGCCGGTGTACTTTGTGGCGGACAGCTTTGAGGACGCCAAGGAGAAACTCAGGTTGGTAGGACTAAACAGGACATGCAGCATTTCTAGTGTCCATGATGGATTGATTAACTAGTAGTTATAAATAAAACCATCTAGACTATGCTTCTGTAACTGTCATAGGCATATTTGATCATTTCTATTCTTGTAATCATGGTAAATTCTTTCAGACGAGACCCGTGAAGATCCGGGATAGAATAGGTCTTCAGCAACCCATTCTTGTCATAAGAGGCGACTATGCTCGTCGTAAAAGGCGACTAACGGGATCGGGTGGTCAGGCTCGCTGACTTAGTTGACACATGTCATCGGTTCCCAATTGCGCAGATCGATGCTCATGCTGTTGATCACTGGATTGTATGGTCCAGACTCGATTATTTACAGACCGCCGCCATATAGCTGGAATATTGCTGAGTGCGGCGTAAAACTAAACTCACTCACTCACTCACTTTCAGACGAGCTACAGAGCCTTTTAGATTTTGGAATGTTTGTGCACTGGATCCAGAATCTAGGAACACCTGACGACAATTTCACTGTTTGCTATAAAATATGATGTTCAATGTATGTAGATCCTTTGGTGTTTTCACATGTTACTCGGATACAACTTTCCAACTCTGTTAAAGTCAGGCCGAATATTTTCAGACTTTTCAAATAACATAATGATCATGAAATCTGAAATATATAGAAACTTGCTTCTTTCTTTTCATCTGTTACATGCTTTTATATCTAAATTTGATGGTTGGAAAAATAGGAAAAATTGAAGAGAAAACTCTTTTTGTAAGGGTGATGCAAATATATGTTTAAAATGTAAACAGGTTCAAATTGCCAGGTTTGCTGACTTGCATGCATGGCATCAATATCCCATTGCTTAAAACGATGCTCATTATATCGATCACTGTATTATCTGGTCCAGACTCAATTATTTACAGACTGCAGCCATATTGCTGGAATATTGCTGAGTTGGGTGATAAACAACCAACAAATATCTGGAAATTCAGTGTTTTTACCCATTGACAATATTTATTTTGTGCATGGGTGAAAAAAGCATGAGCAAAGCAATTTTGCAAATTAACACAAAGCTCAGCCAAACATGCCTCATTCTACCATGTTCTTTACTTTAAGTATGAATATATCATCATCATTTTATTATCATAGTATATTCAGTTGTTTTCATAAATACACATTAATATCATGACCATTTGATGGAACACACAAACACATTCAGAACTGTATGTTAATATTCATTCACTCTGTATATATATGCATTGTTTATATAAGTAATCAGTAGCCTTCATAAAGAAAATTAGGCAGGAATGGCAACATAATTTTTAATTAACCTGCTGTTGTATTGCTATCTCACAAATGTCCATGTTTTCATTATGTCTTTTTATATTGTATCTGTAACTTGTTTACAAGTTGGTGACCATTCAGTGCAACCAACAATATTAGTCTCTGGGGAAGGGTCTGAGGAGGGACAATATAGACTTCCATATTACCCTGCTACCCTGTAACATAATATACAGTCCGTTTGAGTCAGAAATGGACCGATGAATTGCCACATAAATATAAATAGTACACATGTTTATCATTTACTAATACCCAACAGCTTTCTTATATTTGACAATTTTCAGGACTCCACCAAAAAAGTTGTTTAAGAAATTTAAGAATTTGTGTGATTTTGACACGACCCCTACTGCTTCGCATCACCCTCACAATGTTTGTGTTCAGTACCCTTGCTGATACTCCTAAAGCTTTTGCTGCCCGCCTACGGAATTTATTAATGGCATAAAATGGTTTGCCTCTTTCGGCTTCAGCGTACACTTTAATCATCAACTGTTTCACGTCAGCATTCAACTTCATTTTTCATCAGGCATGTGTATCCCGTGCACGACGAGATAGTGGCTGTTTCGTTTCTGCGGTTTCACCCCGCCGCGACAGATAACAACCTTTGCTTTTTCAATGATGATAGTTTCTTAAACAACTTTTTGGGTGGAGTCTGGAAAATTTTCAAATATAAGAAAGCTGTTGGGTATTAGTAAATGATAAACATGTGTACTATTTATATTTATGTGGCAATTTTGTACAATGATAAAATTTGCAATTCATCAGTCCGTTTCTGACTCAAACGGACTGTAATCTATGGTCACTGAACAGTTATGTTCAAACAATATGTATAATTAGATAATTGATTTTGGTATCAGTAGTCATATTCCATAAATGAATATGCCTCTTTTTTATCAGAAATATATTTGATATTTGAAAATAGGATACAGTTTTACAAAAATCACTTGGGAAAATTAATCTGTTATTTCTTCGACTTTTTAAGTTTTTAAGTTACTAAAACTGGTGCTTATTTTCTTGTTAAGACTCATCTTGAAATATCTGTTTGTTAGTCATCTTTCTTGAAGAATATACTATTGCTGAGCATCACAGTGTTCAAATGGCTTGTTTATTCCTTCTCAGACTTGTGTCAGGCGCCATTATCAACCATCTCAATATGTGGAATGATTCTAACCATCACTCTTTCTTTCAGGGCCTACGCCGCAACCATCCCCCGCCCCTTCAGCGTGCGCTACAACGCCTACACCCAGAGTGTGGAGGTCATCAACAGCAAGGAGCAGGTCCTAAACCTGACAAAGGCCATCAGAGGTTAGTTGATACACATAGAGAGTCTACTTGATGGTCCTAAACCTGACAAAGGCCATCAGAGGTAAGTTGATACACATAGAGAGTCTACTTGATGGTTCTGAACCTGACAAAGGCCATCAGAGGTTAGTTGATACACATAGAGAGTCTACTTGATGGCCCTAAACCTGACAAAGGCCATCAGAGGTAAGTTGATACACATAGAGAGTCTACTTGATGGTCCTAAACCTGACAAAGGCCATCAGAGGTAAGTTGATACACATAGAGAGTCTACTTGATGGTCCTAAACCTGACAAAGGCCATCAGAGGTAAGTTGATACACATAGAGAGTTTACTTGATGGTCCTAAACCTGACAAAGGCCATCAGAGGTAAGTTGATATATACACATAGACAGTCTACTTGATGGCCCTAAACCTGACAAAGGCCATCAGAGGTAAGTTGATACACATAGAGAGTTTACTTGTTGGTCCTGAACCTGACAAAAGCCATCAGAGGTAAGTTGATATACTAGTATACACATAGAGAGTCTACTTAAGGAAGGATAACAATATATCAGGGCTCCAGATAAAGGGGTCGTATCGGCGTATGTACGGATATAAAATAAGCACGATACGGTAGGAAATAATTTAGAAAGCGTAGCAGATATGCACCACAGTGTACGGTCTTAGAATCCTTTATAGATGTATTTATCTGAAAAAGAATGGTTTTATTGTTCATTGACCTGTTTACACAAGAGCAGCAATGTTGTGGTGCATATATGAAACGAAACACAAGATTACTGATACTCCATTAATTTCCATTCAGTACTCTAAATGTACTCTTAAGGTTTTCCAGTACTCCTGTATTGAAAAAATAAGGAGTACGTACTCCTGATGTTGAAAAATTTTCTGGAGCCCTGATATATGGCTGAGTCTACTTGATGGTCTAGAACCTTAATCCAATCATTGTACAATAGAATTTTTTTTAACCGTTTTCATTTGTTATTAATGCCTTTTTCTCATATTTTATGCCCTCTGTTTGCAGGTGACCTTTCACTTCTTGAAGAAGCTATGAAGAAGGTCAACAGCATGAAGTAAAAGGTGAAGGTCACATGTGGACAATATAGTTTTGATGTCTAGTTTTTTCCTTCTCAAATCTTACATTTTATATAATATGTCAAAGAAAATCCAGATTTCATCTTGTAATGAGAAAAACCTACATAATGTGCCTAGTAACTAAGTTTATTACTTAGGTCAACATTCACATGGATTCTGTACAAAACTTGGTGATATTTTCACGAGAACACATTTCAATGTGGGACTGCCCTTGTTATATTCTTAAAGGAATTTACATGGAGAATGGATATTTTTCAAATTAATATATTAGCCAAAATAGTTGATCATGTAAGCACATCTCGAGGCTGTGTACCTTTTGTGCTGGACACTGTTTACTTATTATACAGTCTGAAGCATAATATTTTGTCAAGCAGTTTTCTTGCATTTGGACAAATTGTTAAATTGACATAAAAATCTTACAATATATACTGGACAAAATAAGTTAGGGATATTGGTATTTTTATGATTGATATTTTATCAACGTGTCAATGAATAAATGCATCATTATTCATAATTTCAAAATTTACATATATCCCTAACTATTTTTGTCCAGTATAATATGGTTGTTCCCTAGACACAAAAACTAAAGTGCTGAATTACATACATTGTATATGAAATTATTCTCGTTTCTTTCTCAATATGATGGCTGTTCTTCTCTTTGTGGCAATAAATATTTGTGATCAGGACATCTTCCTAATAAACATGTTTATTGTAAATGTACAAGTGAATTCTGCACAATATACGTTGGTTGTTGCTGTTAAATATGTTAAATATAAAAGGTGAATTTTGCACAATATTTGTTTGTTGACTGTTGTTGGTTTATAAGAGATATGTACACTATGTAGACCATATTGTTTACTGCTAGTGTGTGGTTGTGGTAAATCTAGCATAATGGTTATTTATTAGGAGCTTTAACTGACATACTGGTAGATGAATAAAGCACAAACATGCTAAAGATGGCAGCTATTCAAGGTTGTATACTCTTCTGGGTCCAGTGTCACAAACCAATCATAACACTACGACAGTCATAACTCCAATAGTTTTACATAGATGTACGAGAGTCGTAATGCTATGATCGCTTTGTGAAACAGGACCCTGGCCAATACAGGCATCGGAATTCCTGGCAGCTTGGAAAAGATTAATGTCATTTTCTTATGCAATAATATAACCGGTATCAGTTGCCAACTAATTTGAAATTTACCGTTTGCCTTAGACTTGAGAAAATTGTGAGGGATTGGTTGTTTTGTCCCTAAAACTCTTGTTATTTTACATTCTGGGTAGCAACTTGTCTGAAATGAGCAGCAAACATACTGGATATTACGAACGGTGTCTACTCCTGCTTGTATTGAATTAGTTGTGAATGCATAAACATTTTACCTTTTACTATAAATATTTTTCTAATGTGACAAGAAAAATGAATGAATTTCATTGGTCAGTGAAGCTCTTTAGTGTTTTTGCAGAAGATCAGAATTCTACAATTTTTATATGGGATAGAAATAATGGTCAGCTCCTGTTCTACAAAAATGAATTTAATTTTGTATATTTATGATCATTCCATGTCTTGTCAAAGTAGGAAACACAAATACTTGTTGAAATTGATCCGGTGACACAAACATATATTTGGAAACCTATGATTTACACCTTTCTCATTTGAGGACATACACAATGTAAATTTAAATATATTTTTTTCCTAAAAGGTGTCTTTTTACAGGATTTTTAGCATTATCTATGTATAGTGTGATGTCAACCCTGATTGTATGTCCTATTGTTTAGGTTGTTGAAAACTGTTTTATTACAGATACTATTTTCGATTTGGAAATTATGATTGGTTTATCAAATTTTGTTTTAGTTATTAAACTAAAGTAAAAGCTTTGCTTTTTTTTTTCAATGTGACATGTAATAACATTTTGCCCGAGTGGAAAGCAAGTTGGTATATATGCATTGTAAATCTAACAGAAATTATTATTTCAGTCCTCATCATGTTGTATTAATCTAGATTCACACCAATATGGATATATTTATGGCCATTGTAATAATGCAGATATCCTCATAAGCTGTAACCGGTGTTATATTTAGAAAATATGAATGATAAAATGTTGTCTTTTATTTGCTTTGTGATATCTTTATTGGTTATTTTAACAATTGCTTTCAGTTTCATTTAATGAAGTTACTGAAGCCTTAAATGAACTTGAATACATTGACAGTTCTTTTTAAAAAAATATTTAGCACATTTTGGTAGCTATAATGAATTTTATAACAAAATATATTAGTTTAATCCAAAAATCTCAAAAATTTTATCAGTCAAAATTGAGTGACTCTTATTGGTTTGTTAGTTGTTTTATGTAATATATTCATATATTGGTACTGTCTCAAGGGTGTGTTAGGTGCAGAACTTTGGATGAAGGTTTTATAAAGGGTTAACATACAGAGCTTGCTTATATTGTGCATAGCTTAATGAATGTACATGTTCTATTTTGTTTGTTGAAGAATATTAATTATGTACAGACCAGATCAACTAATCATTTTAGGTTTTTTAGATGAGCATCTTCTAAATAAATGCTAAAATGTTCTGATATTGTTTGCTGAAAATATGTTTATCTTGCTTTTCATTTTTATTTCATGTTTATGCTTTTATATCAGAAGTATTTTTATGCAAAATTAACCTGAATGTAACCATGGCAACATTTGGTGTCGACTTCAATAAATATTGGCCAGTAGAATCTCCTTATTTATCTGGTCTTGTTTTCTATAGCATACTTGTGTTTATATATGCTATGCTACCCTTATTATGAAGTATATTATATATCATTCATTATGTTAAACTGACATGGACTGATTCACCCCATTGCTTTGGTTTGAAGCCTAGTCAAACATGCTAAAAGTCATCAAATAAAATTAAGTTTTCTCTCATGATTGGAACAGTTATCACAGTTTTGGTCAGTTATATTCCTTTACATTTAGTTACAATGTCAATGTACAGTGAGAATATATATCATAATGGAATGGAGATGCTGCACACTGGTTAAATAAGGATGGAGCATATTATGCATATTTTTGTTTAGTCGTTTGATAACCCTGATTAGTCTTCAGGATTCTTGGTGCACTATTTTATGGTAAAATAGTTTAAATAACCTTGCAGGGATACCCTCAATGACATTCCTGCAATTCCCTTGTAGTCTGTGATGGATTGTGAGATGCATATCTAGCAATAAAGATATATAATTGTTAATGCTGTATTTCTGTTATTGGTTGAACACGCATGCACGTCGTCATATGAGCGTGGAATATTCTCAAGCACGACGTAAAACCCAATTTCACCTCACCTCACCTGTCATTGGTTGATATATTATATGGATTGTTATATACTGATGTAAACAAGTAGGGGAACACAAAATGGTACAACTGTTCGTACATTCCTTTCCAGTTTCTTTACATTCTTTTTATTGCACTTTGAGTGAAAATCTGGGAATAATTAAAGGAAAACTTACACTTTCATGTGTTCCAATATTCATTTCCATCAGTATTCATACAAGTAAAAACCGTCTCCGTTTTGTAGTGGATAGAGCGTCCGCCGGAGATCGGAAAGTCGAGGTTCGATTCTCGGCCGCGTCTTACCAAAAGACGTTCAAATATGGTACTTGTTGGACCCTGCCTGGTGCTCGGCATTAATGGGTACAACAAGGACTGGTCGGCTCGGAGTCAGTATAATGTGTCTGAGTGGGGTATTCATGCATCAATGCGGCATGGCATCTCAGTGGGCTAGCACTATAAAACCAGCTTAAGTCTGGGCTAGTACAAGCAGCCACACATACACATACACATCGTCATATGAGCGAAATATTCTTAAGTACAACGTTAAACCCCATTACACTTCACCTCAGTAAGTAAAAAGTAAAAGTAAGTAAATTGTTCTCGGAAAGTTGTACAATTCTCCAAAAGGCTGTCCACTGTATATATTATGCTGAAATGCAGAATAATAGTGGACTAAGTGTTGGTATGTTAGCTTAGTGGTTAGTGCCAATCCTTCATGACAAGGAAGAATCAGGTTTCTATTCCCTATCTGGTTCCAGTGATATTCCTGGATTGTTGGTGTGAAACGTTTTGAGACTGAACTGAAGTTGAATTACAAACTGTAAGCTGGGATAATCTACGTCTTATAGTCTCCCTACTGTAACAGATAATCTATGGAACACACAACTCTATCAACACCACTGAAGCTGGTACTCAAATCACCACTCAATGGCAGCCCACAGGCAATGAGAACATTCACGGCTGGAATCTGCAGACTTGATCATGGACATTAACTACTTATCTAAACTACCAGATACGCCACCCACTAAAACAAGGTAGAATATAATGACAACACTATAATAATTATTACTGCCGTTCACAATTAACAATGGGTGGTTTTCCAATGCCATGAGCCAACATTTGTAATTTTATGAAGCTCTCATAAAATGTTGCCCCAAAACGTTTTACAAATTCATTTTGAGGTGCATTTGTAGATTCAGTGAGCAGGTACCAGACTGACTTATTCTCTGGCAATAAGATGGTATATGGGTTATTTTCCAGCAGTAAGTTGGTATAACAGTGTAAGGTAGTATGCAAGTGGGTTATTTCTCGAATTGTTACATGGTATTAAATTATGAAATGGGTTATTTTTCCATCTATAAGATGGTGTATGAGTGGGGTTTTTTCAAGTGGGAAAACGCCAAGAAAGACATGCAGTTAGTCGTAGCATACTCAGATCTTCTTACCACCAATAGTAGATCATACTACGATTAGAATTTGAAATAGACGCAAAGGCAAGCTGCCATTAGGATGCACATAATCAAGAAGGCCCAGAACCTGACCAAACTCTTCAGTTTGTAGAAAAAGGCAAAACAAAACAAACAGCAGCTTGTTGTGATAATTAAGTCCACAGGTAAATATACTGCGGGCCATGAGGACCCATAGAAAATCCAGGCTCGTCACAATATAATCCTGACGTGAGCCAACGGCACACAAATGAAACGAATAATGAAAAGATTTTTTATAAATATGACCACCCTGAGAAATATTGATAATTGGATTTTCACGCCTCCCGCCTCAAAACTGAGCTCCCTCATCATACACAGTTATATACATACATACACTGAGGACGTGTTCATGTAACACTACCAAATATTAATGTTACCAGGAGTTCTTGAAAACGCGAGGGTATTCTTTGCCCATCGGTGGCATCTGTCATAAACACATGCAAAGGCTAGTTAATTGGTCACCCGAAAAAACAAGGGAATGTATGGTACAAGTCAATATAGGGAATTGGATCGGACATCATTTTTCTGAAATTTCCCCCACATGTCTATCATAAAACATGTTGAAAGCTTTTCGGAGGCTTAAATTAAGTAACCTTGATCGAACAACCTTCAGCGAGAGCCGTGTGACACTTTTTGAAATCTTGGCAAAAAGGAATGCTCCATTGATTAGGTTAAACCACAAACAAACCTATTTTCAAGCTCAGATAGGAACGTCAGTGACGGAAATACGACTATCTGAACGACATTAGACCATCGATATACATGCTTAAGTTAAACTTCTTGGCCAAATTACGTTGTTTTGATTTTGCTTACCCCAGCATTAATCCTGATTCAAATGCGTAAAGAAACAGATCTGGAATGAGAGGAGAACAATTGGTACCCATGGGGATGCCTACTTTGTTTGTAAAGTTTATCCCCGAAAGTTTACGAAGGTGTTATTTATCAGCATTTCACATGTTGTTTTCTTTTCTCAGTAAACTTTAGGTGACATTTGATTTCATTTTTGACAGAATGTTCTAAACCTATGAAGATATATAGGTTTGTAACTATACCCATGCTCACCACTGTTATTAACAAATGTCATATGGATCAAGGAATGAAGTTTGTTCAGTGGGATATATGTGTATGTAATATTTAAGAATCAAACGTTCTTAACAGAACTGAACACGATCCTTTTCCGACATTGTAGTTGGTCAGTTTGTTGTTTAACCGCCGCACTCAGCAATATTCCAGCTATATGGCGGGGAACTGTAAATAATCGAGTCTGAACCAGACAATCCAGTGATCAACAGCATGCGGTATCAATGTACGCAATTTGGATACGATGACATGTGTCAACCAAGTCAGTGAGCCTGACCACCCTATCCTGTTAGTCGCCTCTTACGACAAGCATGGTTCCTGAACACCAATTTTAACTCGGATCTTCACGGTACAGACATTGTAAAACTGCGTGCAAATCCATTGAGATTTTGAGAATCCACATGGTATTAATTCCGCTTGTCTTAAATATTTTCTGTAAAATACACAAACTTCTTCCTTGGTAGTATATAGCACCTCTGAGACAGATATTTCGTGGAACATTTGATGGACCCAAGCGCAAATTTCTCAATGTTCATATCTTTACCGAGTTCCGGAGGAATGAACAGGTTTTCATATTTTAATGTCAAGTTCATAGTACCGAGGAACGGTTTTGGCAGATTTAATATATTGGCCTTATTTGTGTCAGTATTTGGCTTATTCATTTAAGCCACGCTCTTTAATGAAATAATTTATGTAGTGACGCTTACTGTAACATTTCATGTTATTTAAGGCTGTGGCAGTTAGAACAACTACAAAATTTTCATGCAGTGCAGCCAGACTTTGGATGACAGCTGGGACAGAATGGCTTTTCAATTCTGTTTCCACATTTTCAGTTTGTTCATTCTACCGAATGACTTAAATATAAATGAATATAAATTGATGCTGGTAATGCATGGTCGTCAAAAAGCGTGTATCTGTTAAAATCAACGTATGAGATATTTAATTAAATAGGAGTGAATGTGTTTGCTTATTCAGCACACGCTGTTTCATGTCTGCTGAAAGAAAAGTAATAACGAAAAAGACAAAATCAATTAATTTATGCATGTCTGGGGCTGGGCAAAACTGTAATTGAAATTCAGCCAACACATTATTGTGTTTTGTCAGTGATACATTCATGCGATGTTCGTTATTTGTATGCCGTTTACGCCCAGTGGAATCTGTTTCCGCAAATAATCATGGCTGTTTATGAGTGACATTGTAGTATATATCTATGTATCACTGATGTCCCCATCCTAAATTCATGCGGGACGAAAACATGGATTCAACCTTTTTAATTTACACCGGCAATATAATGTCTTTTGTGGGATGTGGTATTGTGAACAGCTTGCTGGCTAGAAACACCTTTCTTTGCGTCGTTGGCCGCTGTAAACGTTTTATGACTTTAAACTGCCCCACACTGATGAACATTAACAGGTGGTATCTTCGTAGACTAATTGCTGCGTTAAAACATGCCATTGTTCACCCAGCAGTGAATGGGTACCCGGTAGGATGTAAAGATAATGCGACTGTTGACTAAGCAGTGTCAACGGAAGCCTCCTTAGGGTGGTGGAACTGGAATTAAAATGACCAGTTGACCAGGATAATAATGCTTGTATGAGCATGATAAACCAATACCACGAATCAGTGCGACCTATCATTTTTGGGTTTGGAAGACGTGCTAATATCTCTTTTATACTGGATTCCAAAGCTCTTCAGAAATCCCTACAAGAGATATGATATTGCTTATATGATATGTTGAAATAAATATTCCACCATATTCCTGTCGCAAACTTCACCATAATCTTTGATATCATGATGGAAAGACTTTGTATACATTCACAGAATGTATTAGAGACAAATACACTACTTATCGGAAATTTGGAATGTTTAAGAAGAACTTTATTTCTTGATCCATGGAGCACTTGTCAGTAAACGTGGTTACCATCATGTGCCATCTCTATGTTGTCTTGTCTTGCCTTGTCCCGTGGGTCGTTTAAAGTAGCTTTTTCCGTATCTGCCGTTTAGGAAAAGACTCAAGATTTAAGATGTTTCTGTTTTTACAAATGCCATCATGTGGGTAAGAATGATCTGAACAAAATTGATGATCTGCCTGTAGCTTGAGATGTAATGAGAGTCTAGATTGAACTCACCTTATATACCTAAAATGATGTTTAAAAAGTTTTTTCATTAGAGGAGGGCTGCAGTTGATTCCAGGGTCCCGATCCACAAAGCGTTCGTAACGTTACGAAATGTCGTAACTCAAAAGTTTATCATAGGCTTACGAATGTCGCAGCGCTACGATCGTTTTGTGGATCAGGGGCCCGTTCCTCAAAGCGATCGTAGTGCTACGACAGTCGTAAGTCTATGTTAA